AAATTAATACCATAGATAATAAGCGGTATCTAGCAACACATTATTACCCCCAGATTATGAAAAAGACGTTCATCTCATCAATACCTTCTACGACACAAGACATTCTATAACTATTATCCTTCTGTCCTAAATGTCATGATTTAACACAAGGCATGGGATGTGTATCCTTGTATAGTTAAATCAGCTGTTATTGAATCTCAAGTAGACTGGCAGGGATCAGATATTTATCAGTCTCTAGATAGCGACATATCTGGGCATGGCCATGCACTTTCCCAAGTCCTACTATTCAGTGGGCCCATTGACATTATACTTCTATACAGTAGAAGGGACAGATCATGTATCTGTTATTCACATCTCTAAATATGCTTAGCAGCATACCCAACGCATAATTGTACGTCTACCAGTATTTCAGATAGCATTAGTTATGAATCAAAGCATACAGCCCCACATATCAGAGAATGTAATAACTTCAAGTCTGAGGATAGTTATAGCAAGGTCGATTTGAGAATACTGATAAACACATTACCGTAGATCCATGCAGTATTCTCAAGATGGGTCAATCCAGTCACATATTATCGATATAATATGCACCTACGTACAGATTAAGATATCACAATACCTATAGTCTATGAGATGCAACTATCTCATCTAGTACGTACTAGTCTTGATACGTTATGACGTCCGTATTATCATAAAGTGCGACTAGGGATATTCTAGACATAGCCTTCGTCAATAAGTAACAGTCTCATAATCAGAACATCGTAGTCCTCATCTATGTTACTGAAGCGCCATCGTCTATAGACTGAAGCTATGTTATGTTACACGAGATATAAAACATACTTCAAGGCCTTTGCATTCATGATAAAGTGTACAGTTACATAGGTATTTGATTGCTGCTAGGGCACCTAAATACAAAAATTTTATCCTGGTTCACCACAACGTGTGGCTAATCCAGCCCCCCAAGAGACTCTCTCGAGCTACACTAACTCCGTTAAGCTTAGGGGTGCTTAACAAACCGATACAACTTGAGAACCCGAGTCACACGAGCCTCAAACACCTTTGCTCGGAGATACCGCACTCCAAGACTTCTCACGAAGGAACAAGGAACTTCCTTCGAGTTTACAACAAGGGAACAACCTTCCTTAAAGAATTGAGTGAACTAGTAAATGCTCAAGAACACGACAATTTCTTCAAGAATTGGCTCTCAAATAGCTAAGAAAATTAGGAATGATTATGCAATGAAAGAGTATTGAAATGTTGAAGAATTGTGTGTAAAATGAGAGGATTTGGGTGCCATTTTATAGCCCAAAATGGGATAAACCCGTTGCTAGAGTTTCCAATAGGATCAAGACAAATTTTTCAGGGACACAGGCTGATAGTCGATTATCCAAGCTTGATAATCGATTATCAAAACATTCCTTGTCCAAAAATTTAAAATTCTATCCGTTGGAGGACAACGGTAACCCAGATAATCGATTGTCAATAAGTGATAATCGATTATTGGTCCTCTCAAAAGAATCTGGGTTTTAGCTGCAAAGACTGATAATCGATTATTGCATAAGTGATAATCGATTATTGCGTGCTTCAGAACTTTGGAAGTTCAAAACTGCAGGGGCTGATAGTCGATTGTCACTAAGGTGATAATCGATTATCACCTAGCTAAGGTCTAGCCAGCTGAAACCCGTTTTGAAAAACCGAGGTCCAAAAACGAAGTGTTCCCAAAAGTAAAAACCAGGTTTGAAAAATATTGTATATGGTATAAAATAGTGAAAACAAGACTTGTTTGGTAAAAACCAAGTCTCCAAGGTCGTACAATACGTGCGTACGGTTTTGACCGTTTTTCACGTGTTAGACCGATTGACCAAGACACAAAAGTGGTTTTTATAGAATAATTATTTGGGAACATTTTAAAAATGCTCAGAGGTAAAAACAGGGTTTAAAATATTGAAAACCATGGAGTTGGTTCGGGCGCCAAAAAACCGAACGCCGAAAGCCGAACGCCGACTTAGGTGGTTTCGGTTCCGAGCAAGGACCAGGGATTTTAACAATAAAAGAAATCATCAAAAATGTTTGTTTTGATGCACAAAAAATATTTTATGATTTGTAAAAATTGTTTTGACTTTTTGAGAACCGAGACTTGAATTTATTGTCGGTTTTGATCACAAAAGACCGACTCGACTAAGTCTTCAATTCTTGATCGTCCTTGAGTCTTTTTGGTCTTGTTCCAAGCCATTCTTCACGCCTTGAGTTATTCAACGAAACTCTTTATATCCACGGCGGTTTGGCAATTATCAAAACCTGTCAGAAATGAACACGACTTTAGTTTATCGTACAAAGTGTGTTCCAACAATATTCGGTGCTACTAACGATGTTTTGTGCAGGGATTTTTCTGATATGATGCAAAGCGAATTTGAAATGTCGATGATGGGAGAATTAAAATTCTTCCTTGGGCTGCAAATTAGACAATGCAAAAAAGGAACATTTGTGTGTCAAACGAAATATTGCAGCGAATTGCTTAAGAGATTCGTGTGTCAAACGAAATCCATTGACAAGCCAATGAGTACCTCTTGCTATCTCGACAAGGATGAAAAAGGTAAAGAGGTAGATATCAAACGCTACTAAGGTATGATCGGCTCTTTACTTTATCTTACCGTGAGTAGACCGGATATCATGTACTCCGTTTGTATATGCGCTAGGTATCAATCATGTCCTAAAGAGTCACACTTGGTTGTGATCAAAAGGATAATGCGATATCTCGCGGGCACATTGAACGTAGGTCTTTGGTATCCCAAAGGTTCGACATGTCATCTTGTCGGCTATTCCGACTCGGAATTTGCAGGTTGCAAACTCGATAGGAAAAGTACCAGCGGTACTTGCCACTTATTCGGTCATTCGTTAATCTCGTGGTTTAGTAAGAAGCAGGTTAGTGTTGCACCTTCCACCACCGAAGCAGAATATGTCGATGTGGGAAGTTGTTGTGCCCAAATTCTTTGGCTAAAATAGCAACTAGTGGATTTCGGCCTTATACTTGATCACATCGCAATTAGGTGTGACAACATGAGTGCTATTAGTCTAACGAAGAACCTCGTTGTTCACTCGCAGACTAAACACAGAAATTAGGCATCACTTCATACGAGATCATGTCCAAAAGGGAGATGTCACAATTGAGTTTGTTGAAATGAAATATCAATTGGCGGACAGTTTCACGAAACCCCTTAGTAGGGAGAGTTTCTTCCACATTCGGAATGAACTTGGCATTTTGGATATCTCTATGAATTAATTCATTCTTTTATTGACTTTACTAATTTGAGCGTCGGAGGCACGATAAAACTTTTTTGCAGGGCCTTTCTATCAGGTATCTCTTCCCTTGGTATCAAATCCGAATTGAACTTGATGATCCTTTTGATTTATCTGTCAAAATGTTTTTTAATCAATTACTTCTTCGTAAAGAAATCGATTAGACCCCTATGTGCCTCTTAATCGATTAATGGACTTCTTCTTAATCGATTAAATCCATCAGTGCAAACTTTTTGGACTTCGCTTCATTGACTAATTGATTAATTACTTTTATATAATCGATTTTTTATCCATCGCAAACCTAATCGATTAAACATCGTCTTTTAATCTATTAATTTTCGATTTTTTTATAAAGTCAAATACTCTTCGTCTTCTTCGCACTTTCAGATTTCCAAAAAGCTGAGGCTCTCGAAACCCTACCTTCCTCCTCTCCGATTTCATCATCAATTTCATCCCTTTCTTCACCAAATTTCATCAATTTTGAAGAGGAAAGATGCCAAGGTGCAAGAACCCTACCTTGCGTCAAGAATCGGCGGCGGAAGAAGAGGACCGTCCATGGCGTCGTGACGGCACCAAGTACATTCCCATCCAAACCGGTCTCGCCTTCAACACTGGAGCATCGGTCGAGAGATTCGACAACATCTTTCTCACGAAGGAGATCATTCCACCGAAGATTGTGGACAAGGACCTCTTCCAGATGGCAACCTATGCCCCGAGCAAGTCACTTTTCTCTCAGCAAGGTTTGCTCCATTTCATTCATTTGACGTATGAATTCTTTTGTCCAAATCTTATACATCAATTTTACTCTAATCTTTGTACCACTTTGGGAGACTCTCCATCTCTCATCTCTTATGTTGACGGAAAAACTATTTTTGTTGACGGTGACGGTTTGACCACTCTCTTTGGCCTTCGTAGAGGTGAAATTACTGATAAATTGGATGAAACATTCCAAGATGAGGCAATTTGGAAACAACTCGGGTTAGATCATCGTGACCTCAAGTTTAGAAATTCTAGCAACCCGAGTGGCATTAACCTCACTTTGATTCAACGCATCCAACAATACATCTTCTCTTATGTTTTGTTGCCCCGTGATTCGAACCATGGCGTTGTCAACAAGGACGACATTCGATTGTTTCACGTCCTGTTGAACAATGTCAACTTTGATTGGGTTCATTTCTTTCTCGTTGCATTTAGTGATGGTACTCGCTTTTCACATCTTCGTTTTGTCATCCCTATCATGCATATCCTTGCTCACTGCAAAGTGGACCTTACTCGGAACACTCGGGTGCTGGTGAAGAAGACTTGTTTCATCAAGGACACCAAGTTCACCCGGACTATCTTCCTTAAAGAAACAACCGGCGAGCAAAATCTAGACCTGGTTGTTGCAGACGAAGAGGAGAGCGAGAACGAAGCAGAGTCATCTCGTGCCGGAGGAAGCCGAACCACGGAACGCGTCACCTCAGGATGACTCGTTTCGAGCAATCCCGATCCTTCCGTAGTCTGCGTCACAGCTTTAGCGGAGGAGCTCGTCCGACACATTCTCTTTGATTCTGTTGACGTTGTTTTTGTGATGACTTATTATGATACGTTATTAATTGTTATTGTTTCTATGACTCTTTTGGTGGATGATGATGTTGCTTTAATTTGTTGTTAATTGGTTTATGGTTGATGTTAATTATCATTGTGTATTGATATCATTGTTGGTTTGGCAATATTGTTTTTTTCAAGAACATATTATTGTCCCTTTGTGGCTTTTTGTTAGGAGTTCTCTTTTAAAGAAAACTCTTACAATTTTTTTTTACTATCCTTCAAAATCCCGGCATCAATTAAGGGGGAAGGTTATCGGTTGATAATGCCAAAAGGGGGAAGGAAGGATAGCTCAGAAAACTTGGTTTTTCAAGAAACGTTATTACGCTTATTACTCCGAAATTTTTTTTACTGCACTTCTCTAACCATGTAGGGGGAATTATTTTAAAGGAAGTATTTCTTGAACTCACCTTTGTTTTTTCTCAACTATGTTTGTCATTATCAGAAAGGGGGAAATTGTTGGACATGAGTTCAAATCCCTTTATTATTTTCAGGAATTTTTTTGTTTTGATAAATGACAAACATGATGTTTAGTTTCAACGATGATCGAAAATGTAATTTTTTCGTATAGAGAAAAGCAAAGAGGCGTATCAAGAGGTTTACGGTGATAAAAATCAACGCTCTCCCCTACGCAGACTTTTGAAGAGAAGTGAAAACTCCGAAGACTTTTATTTTATTGAGTCTAGGAATTTTTGTAAGGATGACAATGACTTTTGCATAAACAATTAATTTTTGAGGGATAAAAATTATTATTTTCCGAGTCAGTTGAAAAATCATTTTTTCTCTGTCTAAAAATATTTTACCGAGTCAGTTTCAAAATAGTGTGTCAAAATTTCATAAAATATTTTTAAGGATACACAAACAAATTCATTAAATAAGAGATTTTGATTGAGGAGCGTGCTGCCTGATTCCCGTTGTCTCAAACTAGAAAGATAGGCCAATTTCACTTCTCATCGCAACTTGGCTTGGGCCCATTGTGTTGTACCCAAGCTCCGGGGTTAAGCTTAAGTTTAATAACAAAGCTCCTTAAACTTCAGGGAAGAGGAATAGTCGATTATCCTGGTATGATACTCGACTAACAGGTGCATAAGTTTCTCGGGAGAATTTTCGGAAGTTTCAGGAGAGGTAGTTAGTTGATTGACCAAGTCGTGTCAGTCGACTATTGTGGGCTGCAGATTTTTCTGAGGAAGCTGATAATCGATTGTCTAAGATTGACAGTCGACTATTAAAGGCTGCGGGGGTGTTGAGTCACAAAATGTCATATTTTATTCTCTTATTTCTTAGTACTTTTAAGATGTTTTATATGCATTTTATATTTAAATAAACATGTTTTGTCTTATTTAGCATTTTAGGCCATTGTTACTTTTTATAGATAAAATGCATGAATTTGAGTATATTTATATTCTACAATTATTTTGGAGCATTATTTTCCTTGACACAGTGTTTAAGATATAATTTGGAGCTCAACATAGAGGGAATAAAAATGCTGGAGTCTTAGAGCTTTGACACCACAATTGAAGAAATGAAAAGAGTTTGGGCCCAAGATTGGTTTTGATCCCATTTGCATTTCTCAAAGTCTCAATCCATTAGAAGTAAAAGTCCAATAAATGATAAAAGGAAATAAAAAAAGAAGAAGATAGACTCTGTAGATGGGAACCGTAGAAGACCGCATAGCGCAAGAAACGGAGGAGGCTTCCTTCCTCAAATCAAACTTCAATTCCCATTCCCAATCCAAATTGAAGACTAAAGCTTGGACGACTCATGTATAAAAGAGGCAAAATATCGACCATGAAAGGGGGAGACGGATAGAGACGAGAGAACAGATCGGGAGCGAGAGCGGAAACGGGACAAGGAAAGCCGACCTAGGGTTTCGACCCTAGGTCCGGCGCGGCTCGGGGATAATTACTCCGGCGATGGTGGCGACAGTAAGGACGGCGACTGTTCAAAGTCTTGATTCCGGCAGCGACGACTGAGCTCTGGCCATGGATGTGGATGATGATGGTCTCTGGTTCTGGCGCCATTAACGAGCAAAGAAGAAACTCAGGGGAGAAATTTTCTCCTTTTTAATTTCATTCCTTAATTAAGACTTTCCAATTTATAAGTTTCTCAATTAATGAATTTGATTGTCAGTATTAAATATGTTTATTTTCAATTCCATGTTTGTTGAATGTTTAAGTTATATTATAAGTGTTGAATTGTTTGTGTGTTAGTGTCGAATTGTTCAAATATGATTTATTGATTTATTATTGTCTCTGAAATTATAAAATCTTCTTAGGCCAAATTGTTTGATGAAAAAGATTGAATCTTTGTTTGTTGAATTAATTTGACTTTGAAGGAATTTTAGCTTTATGCTACTGTTAAATCTAAATTCGAAAAGGTGTTTGAAAACAGGTCTTTGTTTAAACTTGGATTAGATCAATTTAGGACGGCCGCCTAAACTCTAATTCCAATTGACAGTTTTAAGATCTTGAGTACGTATAGCTGAGATTTTCAAAACACAAGTGTCACCTGGTTAATACTTAATTGGCTCCCACTTGGTTTTTATTAATCAGAGTTTTCAAACTGGCTATGTTAAATAGATATAGTTTACTGCATAGTTGTTAAGAATAGTAGGGTCTAGAGTTAGGGCAGGTCTTAACATAGGCTATATTAGGGAGAATAGGGAAGAACCGCAGGTGGATCTCTTCTTCAGCTTAACCCTGAGTTTAATTAGCAGTTTAGTTTCAGGATTAAGACATAATTAATTGATTAATCAGATTTGTTCAGTTTATTTTCTATTAAAAACTGTAAGTATTTTCAAAATGGTTTAAGTTAATTATTATTGTCTACGTTTTTATAAAGTTTATTGTGTGATTGTTTTTGTGTGTTTGTTTCTCCCTGAGTGTCTTCCGAGTTCGAGTTGCTGCTGTTATCCTTATCTTTATTTTATTTGCATTTTTATCTTTTTAGAATTATCATTCAAACCCCCCATATCCTTTAGTTTTAGATATTAGATTTTAGTTAGTTTTTATTCAATAAAAGTGACAAGTGAACTAATTTTCATAATAATAAAAGTATCTTTCCTCGTGGGATTGACCCTTACTTGCCCTATCTATATGTTTTGATGAATATTGAATCATAAAGGGGGTTAAAAGTTAAGGAAATAATAAATTAATTTGTAGGTGCTACGACACGCCTAACAGGGGGTTTTGTGAAAGGCTGGATACTCGATTGTCAAAAGCGATAATCGACTATTGGGCGGCTCAGGAAAGGAAAAGAAGTATTCTTTGGGAAAGGGGAGCAAACCAAGTTGATGTTAAGAGATATTACACACTCTTATCTTAACTAGGGGTTGAGTCTAGCATTCAAATAAGATATCACACACTTATTTAAATAACTAGAACCTAAAACTCACACTCAAGAGAACCACTCTTAATATATAGATTTAGGAATTTAAAATAGCACACACAAACAAGTGTATTACTAAGTTGAAAATGGGAATACAATGTGTATGTATGCAATGCCCAGGGATGAGCTTATATAGGAAAAAAGATGAGACTACCAAGTCTCTTACTCACACAAATTAAAAGGAATAATAGCCACTTGTTGGTGTCCCTTTGGTGGGGAGAAAATTCAGGAAGGGTTGTACTTGTAGGGTAGGTTTTTTTGGTCATAATGGTGGGATGGAATATGTGAGTATAATTCACAAATTGATTGGCTTTGGTGGGGTTAATTTTGGGCAGGAGAAGGGTGGTAGGGCTGGTTATTTGGAGCCATTTCCTGGGCAGGATATGGTGAGGTAAAAGGGGGTTTGAAGGGTGTGGTTGTGGGACAATGTGTCTTGGTTTTTAGTGATTGTTTGCCCAGCCTAGTTGGGGAATCAAAAGTGTGGTTATGAAATGGGTTTGGGCTGGGTGTTTTTCGTCCAGAGGTGAGGAAAGAAATGTGGTTTTGGGCTATCTTTGGATATTTTGGGATTTGGTTTTTGGGAGAGGGAGACTTGGTTTTAGATTGGTGTTGGGCTCAGGGATATTATGCCTATGTTGTGGGTTTTATAACTGATAAGTTCGGCCCAAAAGGGGTCGTGACACTTAGCCATTATTCCATTAATTTGTTTAACGACTTTAGAGTCGTTGGTAGTCACCCGGGGTATATCACGTTGTGTTGCTTATTATTTCATCTGTAATCGATTAAACTTCCTACATTAATCAATTAATTTCCCATGACTAGCGAATGACTTTTCAGGCCTAATTGATTTTTTCCTTCCCTTTAATCGATTAGTGCTCACAGAGGCATCTAATCGATTTTCTTCTTAAATTTTAATCGATTAGTTTCATCCTTCTCGAAAGACATTTTCTACTCAGAGCATTTTAATCGATTAAACCCTCTACTTTAATCGATTAATATTACCTGGTGCCAATTCTCAATTTCATTCAGTGGCTCCAACGATTCTATTTCCTTCTTTCTATTTAATCCCTCATTCTCCTTCATTTTGAGATACATCTCTTGCACTCCAAACCTCCAATGTTAAATATTCAATTCTTGCTCCCATCTTCCTCATAAAATATATCATTTTGAGAGTTAGAAATATTTTTATTGAGGGCTAAAGATATTGTCATCCATAGAGCTTTCATATTTCAACACTTCTTGCTCAATTGAGTGAGCTTTCATTTTTGTGTTGTAAACTCAATCTTATTTGAGTGTTGCTAAGACTTGTGTGATTCAAGTCTTGTTGTTGTTATGGCTTGTGTGACTCAAGTTTTGTTGTAAGAAGTTGAGGCTTGTGTGATTCAAGTTCTCGAGTTGTATCGGTTTTTCAAGCACCCGTTGAAGCTTGAAGTTAGTAGAACCTTTGAGAGAGTCTCTCGGAGGAGTGGACTAGCCACGAGGTGGTGAATCAGTATAAATCACGGTGTACTCATTTCCCTTGCGCTTTACATTTTTCCTGCGATCTTTCTTTTATTATCATACACGCGATTTACACACATTCTAGCAAACAACTCTATTCACCCCCATCTAGAGTTGCACTTTTGCCTAACACTTTGCACTGCTTTTATAAAAATTCCGTCCTCACTAGACGAATTGGAAAAAAAGAGAGTGCAAAAATTCAACTTTTGAAGTATATTGAAAATTAAATTTAAGTATGAGTAAAATTATAGAGAAAAAAAAGATAAAGAAATTAGAAAGAATGAGTTTAAAAGTAGATAAGATTAGATAGTTTAAATTAGGGGTATTCAAAAATATCCGATCCGAAATATCCATCCACGATCCGAGCAGATCTGATCTGAAAAATGGATATTCGATCTAATATTTTACCTTCCGGATATTTCGGATCGGATACCCGAGAAAAATCGGATCAGATATGGAATCAAATTCTGGTATTTTTTGGATAATCGGATATCCAATTTTTTTGGATATATGTTTAATGGAATTTTATGGATACATATTATGGCTATATGTTTAATGTAATTTTATGTTGATTTTGGAACTTAAGCATTTTGGACGTTTTGCATTAGCATTTTGGAACATTTTGTTTTAGTACTTTTTTTTGGTTTGTTTAGGCTAAACTACCAAAGTTTCTTCCAAATTAAATTTGGTATCATTTTTTTATTAGGCCATTACCTAGTGGTAGAATTTTGCTTTTAGTAAATCTATATTGAATTTGATATTATGGGTTGATTTTGCTATTTTACCCTCTCTTTTTTGGAAAATTTTAGCTAAAAAGTTAACTTTTTAAATAATCCAGTGATCCGATCCAAAAATTCGGATATCCGAATTTCGGATATCCAAATATTTTCAGATCGAATATGGAATGAGTTTCACATGATCCAAAATTTTCGGATATCCGAATTTTCAGATCGAATCAAATCAAATCAATCCGATTGAACACCCTTGTTTAAATAGAAGAAGGGGGTAGGGGATTTGAATTTTGAATTTAAAATATGATTTTATATTTAATTTTTTTATGGAGTGTGATCGTTGGAAACAAAAAAACAAAAAGAATGTCATGCAACGGAGTCAGGGCGAGGGGGGAGTGAAGCCGGTGATCACGGACCAACTTGGAAGTGGCACAGAGGATCACAACGGGTGGGGCGTGAGGCGCTACCCTCATCCGTATAGAGGGAAATAGGGATATACTAGTATGTCTTTAATAAAAAAAAGGCAGAATTACATCAGCTTATAAGCATCAATGAGATACATTAAGTGAATATTTTAGCGTAGCATGAACTGAATACTTGTAGCAAATTTGAAAACATAGGACCAAAACATTGATACAGCGTCCATCATCCTAAAATGGTACGCATGAGTATGACACTTCCTGCTGCCTGCCTCCCGGCGGGACCCTTTGACTCATTTCTTCCAGATGGCATAGCGGGTGCCACAAGTAGCAAGCGTCCACTCCCGTTCAGCTGGGCACCAAGAGCCTTCCCCGATCTTCATGCAAGTCTTCTCGCCGATGATTGCAGCATAAAGATTTGGCTGAACATCTAGAATTCTTATGGATGAGCGGCTGTTTATGCCTTGATTGCGCCGGATATCAATCTGTACAAAAAATAATAATAAAATGAGTTTGTCAAATGCCGATACACGTAAGAAACCACAAACTACTGCCCTGTTCAGAGATGAACAAATAAATTGCAATTCGGGCGTGCTTAATGGTACTAACACATGCATACCAGCTTGACAATTTGGTCATGAATTGAATTTCCCCAGTCGTAAAAATGATCATAAAATACTGCAGGAATCCCTGGATGAGTGAGTATGTATGCATAGCCCTTGGAATTTTACGTACAAGATCAGGCATCATATTGGACAACACACAAAAAAATAGAGATTAATGTGAGCGTAGTATAATGCTTGAAACAAAAGAAAAACATATAATGCAATATAGATAGTATAGAAGTTACTTACCTCCATGATGTGATGTGAAGGAAAAGGCCAGTGATTCTGCAGAGTGATATTTAGCTTCTTCAGTAAAAAAATAAATTAAGTGAAAGAGGCATGCCTTGTCACTTGGAAAACAAGTACAAAAATCACCTGAGTAGATCCTGTGTCATGGTTATCAATAAACGTGACAGCCCTTGAAGGCCACCATCCCATAACTCCAGGCGGCTTCCCATAAGGATCTCGCAAACGCCAGAATTCTCCTTTCACAGCTTCCTAAATAGAGATCGTGCATCATTTACAATTACTAAACAAGCAATTGAGACAAGAAAAGTAAACACCAGGCAAGCACATGCAGGCAATTCCATTATGATGAAGAATTAAAAAAACCTAATAACTCATCAATGTAGAGCAAGAGTTAGTAATGATTTATATACTTCCTCCATGGAGAAGTGGAATTGTGTGGTACTGTGGTTCATATTGAATGTGTAAACTGTAAAGATTGGATGGTTTTTGAACCACAAATATGACCAATTATGGCATGAGACAGACATTTAGAGAAAAACCAAAACTAGAAAATGAGACAAACATAGTAGTAGCAATAACATATAGAAGAGACCATCAATGGATGCACTTGATTTAAGAAAATAAAGGCAAACTAGTGACGGAAGGAAATCATCTAAATGTGACCAAATAAACCTGCAAGATTGCTTTAGTTGTGAAATCAAATGCAGCTGAAAGTTGGCCTGCTCCATCAATCCAATTAATGATCCTTTGTCTATGACTATCTGCACAAAATTTAAAAAGTGAATAAAGATATATAAAGAGCTGAGAGAGCTAAACACAAACGTAAAAAGAATGTACCCTACTTTGGTTGTAATCCAAATCGGTGCCACTATAATTGCATGTATCCCAATATTCCCCAACAGAGAATATTGGCTTTGCTCCCTCTATGTATTCCTTTATAAACTTTGGAGAGTAGCTACAATTGAATATAATAAAATCTTAGCAATACAAGTACCTCGAATGATGGCTAAAAAAACTAAAAATTCAATATACTCTTGAATCTACCCTTTGGCAAAATCAAAACGAAAATCTTGGAAGCCAACAATGTATCTTAGCCATCGTAACCAGTTAACAATGTCTTTTCTAACAAAGTTTTGAGTATGATCAATGTTAGGAAACCCTTGAAAATTGTCTCCAGTGCTTGTGTTACCCTGAAGTTACAAACGATCATATGGTTGAGACAGAATAAACAAGTTTCACTTTCATCAAGATATATATGAATAAACAATTGTTAACATTCCAAACTTCAAACAACTGCCCTTTGACAAAGATGTCATTGAGCTTAGGGTTTGTGAAGTCATTGACTAAACAAGATGTACATTTTTTAATAAAAAAAAGGTTCGATACCATCTCTTGAAGTGACTAACAAGTACACATGGTTACAATAATCCCAACAACAACAGAAACAACAACAATAATAATTATAATAATAATAATAATATTATTATTATTATTATGCCCTAATAATAATATTATTATTATGCCCTTTGACAAAGATGTCATTGAGCTTAGGGTTTGTGAAGTCATTGACTAAACAAGATGTACATTCTTCTTCTTCTTGTGAAGTCATTGACTAAACAAGATGTACATTCTTCTTCTTCTTCTTCTTGCGAAGTTTTTTAAAAAACGCATGCCTGAGGGTCGAACCCAAGACCACCTAATCGAGAGAGCCATGCTTCAAACCATCTCTCCTACAATACTTGGTGTTAACTTGTTGGTATATATATATATATATATATATATATATATATCTTTATATATATATATTAAATTCTAGGTAACATTTAATTAGTCAATAAATTTGTAGATTAGTCAATAAATTTTGGAGACAAAAATTTATCCCATTAAAAATTTAATTAGGTGGCCATATTTAGATACTGGACCTAATATAATTTTGTTCAGTAATTTTCGGAATTACTGTTTGGGGTATTTTTATACCCAGTATTATTCTTATTAAGTAGTTTATGTGTAGAATACTTGTTATTTGTTCCATAAATACTTAATATTTATGAAAATTAGATTTTATATTTTCTAGGAAGTATTTAACATGTCAATATAACTCAGAAATTTTAAAATCGATTTTTGGAATTAATTTCCTATTTTTCTATTTTTAAATTCGTTTATTGAATAGAAAATAGGAAAACTTATTTTTGACAATCAAAAATTAATTTTAATTCATAATAAGTTGCGACCAGAGACTTTAAGCTTGTATAAAAATTTTCATAATTTTTAAACACGTAAAAGTATTTATTTTGTATTTTTGAAGTAATTGGATCGGTACTATTCACTAGTCCGATTTTTAATTATTTTAAATTGCAAAATTAATATTTTAAATTCTAGAAAAATCATATTCTGGTTCTGGAACTTATTTTTTACTTGAAAAATAAATTTTGATATTTTTGGAATTTCGAAATATATTTTCACAATATAATTTCGGTTTTCTAGCTTTGAAAAATGGTTTTCAAAATTTTAAATTTTATTCATTATGGAATTTTAGGATTTCCAGATTAATAAAGTTTACTGGGAGTCTCCAACAATTATTTTCTAATTTAGAAAACATATATATATTTAATTCGAAATAAAAGCCCTTTTTCGAATTTAAATATATATAAATACGGTAAATATAAAATATTTTATTTTCTGGAATTTAGAAAATCAAATTTCTAACATTCTGGAAATTTAAAGTATTTTATGATTTTTAATTAAATTACTTGCTAGTTTAATTAATTTATTGTTGATAGTTTATTCCGTAGAATAGAATAAACTAGGTCTGGGGCGAGCGCGGTTCGCCCGGTGTATGCTTTAATATGTATGATGTGATGCATGTGATGCTTGTATGTATTATTGCATGGTGGATGATTGTGGCTTAGTTATATTTGTTGTAATTTTAAATACGGCCTGCGTGTCGTGCCTCATCTCTATACTCTGGATGTAATTCTCTTCTTTACCTCAAATATTCTTTTCTCTCGAAAATTATAAGAAGATAAGAAGACGAAGTCCGTTCGTGATAGAGAATCCTAAGGAAGACGTGATGGGCCGGAGATAGAGATCTCTTGATCAAGGCGCTATCGTTTGTTTTTCTTTAGGAGCCACAATCATTTCACGTTTACTTATTATGCATGTGATGTATGATTGAATGTATGCATGTATGTGATTTTCGCTAGTGCATACG